TCCAGTTTGATTATAATGTACCTCAGAGAGGACCTTTTTGGACTGAATCTGTTTGGGGATCTTTGAGCCTCCTGAATCTGAAGGTCCATGTCTCTCTTTATACCTGGGAAGTTCTCTGCTATTATTTCATTGACTATGTTCTCAATGCCTTTTCCTTTCTCCTCCCCTTCAAGAATGCCAATGATTTGGATATTTGTGCACTTAAGGCTGTCTGCTATCTCTCTTAGATTTTATTCATTTAAAAAAAATTTTGTTTTTCTTTTGTCTGCCTGAGGTATTATGAAGAGATTGTCTTCAAGATCAGAAATTCTTTCTTCTGCTTGCTCTAGCCTGCTGCTTAAGCTCTTAGTTGTGTTTTTTTATTTCATTGAGTGATTCCTTCAGTTCCTTAAGTTCTGTTACATTCTTTAAGTAAATTTGCTTGTGAATTTCTTTGTAATTTCCTTGTAAATTTCTTTAAATTTCCTTTTAAAGTAAATTTCTTTGTTAATTTCCTCCTTCATATTCTGGATAGTTTTGCTCAGTTCACTGGGTTGTGTAACTGTGTCTTCTTGTATCTAATTGAATTTCTTTAAGATTTTTACTTGGAATTCCTTTTCAGTCATTTCAAGGCTTTTCTTCTCTATAGAGTCTGGTTTTTGAGAGTTATTGTATTCCTTTGGTGGACTCATATTTTCTTGTTTTTTCGTATTTCTAGTATCTTTATTTTGATGTCTGATCATCTGGTAGAGCAGTTCCTTCTTCTATTACTCTCCTTCCCTGGACTCCACTGGTGATCCTGCTTCCGTCAATTCAGTTGAGTGGTTGGTGGTCCGCTTGCCTAGTGGTAGTGGTTGCTGTAGCCACTGCTGTGGTAGCAGGCTGCCTTTGTGGTGTTGGTGGTTGTGGTGGTGCCTTTGGCGGTCTCTGAGCATGGTAGTGGTGGCTACAGTGTTGGTGGGCTGCTCACATGATGATGGTAGCTGCCTGACAGTGCCAGTGGTGGCAGCAACTGCAGCTGTGGTGGTTGCAGCAGCTGCTCACTTGGCTGTGGTGTTCACAATGGTGGCCCTCATCTGTGGATGTCTGCAGTGGCAGTGGGATTACCTCATGGGGGTGGTAGTTGTGCTGGAGGCTGCAACTGCCTTCATTGCATCTGTGGTGTTGGCAGTGGGATTACCTCATAGGGGCAGCTATACTACCTCCCTCATGTCTGCAGTGTCCTTGGTAGCAGTGGGATTACCTTATGGGGGTGACAATGGCACTGGCAGCTGCAACTGCCTCTCTGTGTCTGCAATGTTCTTGGCAGCAGCCGGTTTAACCCACAATGGCAGCAGTGGCGGTTGCAGCCGCCTCTCTCACTTCTGTGGAGTTCACGGCTACAGCAATGGGCCACCCACAGGACTGCTGCTCTGTGGGCATCTGTTCAGTGACTGGCAATGGTTCTGGGACTACACAATGGCTCTGGTGATGGTGGTGGCATTGGGCCCATTTCAGTCTTCTTCTGTGGGAGGAACGTGCCCTGGGCACCTCTAGTCCTCCCATCTTCTCAGAAGTCTGTTATTAAATTATTGATATAAAAATAGTTGTCCTTTCCTATGTTTTCTAAATTTGATTGGCTTTATTTCATATATACATATACATAAACAGGTTGAGTATCCCTAATCCAAAAATCTGAAATGTTCTAAAACCCGAAACTTTTTGAGTACTTACATGGTGTTCAAAGGAGCATTTCAGATTTCACATTTTTGGATTTGGGGTACTTAACTGGTCAGTATAATGCAGATTTTCCAAAATCTGAAGAAATCCAAATTTGGAAACATTTCTGGTCCCTAGCATTTCAGATAAGGGATGCTCAACCTGTATATATATATATATATATATATATACACAAATATACACACACCACACATACTTTGAGCTTCCATTTAAGCATCTGTAGTTTTAAAGTTAAGTGAAAAACATGATTTTTAAGGGAGAAATGAGAGTTACACTAGAGGATGATTAGATGTTGATTTGTTTTAAATTCTATCTCAGAATGATCTAACAAGATGAATAAATTCAAACATAGAGAAGGGTGAGTTATTTTCTTGAGGTCCACAAAACTGGTCAGGTGCATTCATGGGACTAGAGTTCTGCTCTGTGAATACTCCCTATTTTATTTTCTTTGCCTTGCTGTAAAGCTCCTCTCAGTTACTGCTAACACCATTCTTTGTCTTTCTCGCTATGTTCCACCATTCTTGCCTCCTTTCTGTAAGTCCCTTTCCTATTGGTGACCTTTCTCTTAGCTTGGAATGCTTTTCCTTCCACTCTGCAGATGGCTGATTCTTACTGTATAAGAAACACCAATGGCCTGGGAGCCTAGAGTGTGAGGTATAGTTCTGTCTTTAGCTTTCTGACTTGGCCAGTCACTTTTCTACTTCTCTGGCCTCATTTTCTTTATGTGTAAAACAAGATGAGATTCTAGATCGGTGATTTTTTTCTCAACTGGGGGTTATTTCAATATCCTCCCTGCTCCCTTTACATTCAGTGGTGTCTGGAGACAGTTTTGGTTGTCATAAATGTGTGTTTGGGGGGGGGTGGAAATTTCATCCAGTGGGTAGAGACCAGGGATGCACAGGTTAGGCACCCCCAACAAAAGAATTATCCAGTCCACAATGTGATCTAGATCTATGGTCCATTTTTGTGTTATGATTTCAAATGTAAACATTTAAATTACTTGTTTCTTATTGTTAGTATTATTTAGGGATTAGTAAATAAAATGTGTTCTTTAAATATTGTTTTTTAGTAATATTTGGTGAAGATGTTGCCTTTGGTGGAGTCTTTAGATGCACTGTTGGCTTGCGAGACAAATATGGTAAGTTAATATCTATATGAATGATATTCCTGTAGAATTTTTACTTCACAAATCTTGAAAATACAAAATATGCCTGTTTTGCCATATCCTCATTATATGGATAGGTTCCTTTTCATTTCTACATCAACCCACAGAATCCTTTGGCCTATATTTTTTCCAAATGTGTTCTAATGTTAGCGCTGATCTAGTTTATGTTACACATATTTTAATCTTCATTAAATATGTTCTTTATTATGTTATTCACCTGTGGAGAACCTTTGGCATCTTATTGCTTCCTGCCTTAGCCAGTTTCAATTCCATTGCCTCCAGTTCAAGATCCTGTCTGTTGGTCTATGTTAACAGATTTCATCTTTTAGGGGAGGGGGGCACAGAGGGGAGAAGGAGAGAGACGGAAAGGGAGAGAGAAAGAGTGATGTTAATCACATCTAAAAAATATGTTTATAGCAACATCTAGACTTGTATAACCAAATAACTGGGCTCCATAGCCTTGGCCATGTTGACATATAAAATTAACCATCTTCCTGTTTCATCACAGCTGATCTGTGTCATTTGCCTGGCATGTGATTGATTTCTGCCTGTGGCTTTTATTTATTTCATTTGATTCGGAGTGCATTTTGGCCCATCCTCGAATTCCCACTCCTTTGACTTGTGTAAGGAATGTGTTTTAACCCTTCATGGTTAGGATTCCTTTGAGGAGGTTTTAATATTTTATTTTTTCTCCCAGTCTTATCTAATCTAAAAGTCAGCCAAGCAGTTAAGGTTAGCATTACGAGGAATTGACATCTCCCTTTCTTCTTACCTTTGCCACTGCCCTGTTATGCTCATTTGTGTACACAGGGTGAGGAGTGATAGTTTTCACAATTTTTTAAAAAAATGTTGTCTCTTCCCATTCCAGTCTGTAAGGTTATGTTATACTTGAGTCCAAGAAACCACAGTATGTTCCATCTCTCCTATCAGGAGCTTCCAGCTTATTCTTTTCTCTTCCATTTGTAGCAGGTTGAGTTTCTGGGTACAGTCCCTCTGCTTCCTTCTAGCCGTCTGTCTGTAATAGCTGTTTAGAGCTTGAGATAGTCGGGCAAAAGATTTTCTTTCCTGTTCATTCAAACTCCTACACACTTTTAGATTTTTAAAAAAAACATTTACAAACCTTTATACATTTGATTTCAAAAGTAATGCACTACTTGCATCCAGTCAAGTCCTACAATTTTATCTTAATCGTTTGTCTTTCATCTGTTACCGCCTATTCTTACTGCTCTGGTATTTCAGATCTTTAATTTTCTCTGCCTGGATAGTTTCATTTTTTTTTTTAGTAATCCCCTTTCCTTTAGTCTCACCTTCCCTTCAGTCTATTCCCTCCCTTGTTGTCAGTGTGATCATTCTAAAATGTACATTTCCTAGAGGCTGGCTGGTTAGCTCAGTTGGTTAGAGTGTAGTGTTGTAACAGCAAGGTCAAGGGTTTGGATCACTGTACCAGCTGGAAAGGGGGAGGGGAATAGGAGGGGGAGGGGGGAGAAAGAAAGAGAGAGAGATAGGGAGAGAGAAAGAAAAGAAAGAAAATACACATTTCCTAGTAGGCCTTACAAAAGAGTTCTACTTATTTAGCTTCCTGACCTCGTCCACTTTATTCTTTGCTAATACTGAATTCCTGGGTGTTCCTCCTAAGCCCTCTATTGTTTTCCTTCTCTCTTCCTTTGCACATGCTCTCTGGATCTCTCTGCAATCTGGTTACCTGGCAAACTCCTATTTCTCCTTTAGGAGGTTCCTCTGTGAAGCTCTTCCTGACCCGTCAAGCACTCAAGCACTACTTTATCACTGTTCAGATTGCATTTTTTACATCTTGTAAGTTATATTGTAGTTGTTTCCCCACCGTAAAGCCACACAGCTTTTAGAAGATAGCTCCTGAAAGGCAACAGATCTTTAACCCATGTGTGTATCCCTAGCACCAAATATTGTGCAAAGCAGTATTTACTAAGTGAATGTTATTGAGTGAATGTACCTTTGCTCATTCACCAGTACAAGGTTTGCTTATCTCCCTTCAGTTATTTTGGTTGGCCTTAATTTTTTTTTTTTTTGCTTTGCTTATAAAATAGGTTAAAACAGGGAGAAACTCAACGTTTACTTGAAAAAGCCCAGTAATCGTAGTGGGCACCTGCAGGTTTATGTCTACATGGCAGAGACCTAAACTAATTAATAGCTAGTTAGCTCTTAACTTTATTAGCAGCTGCTGTGAATTTTTACAACAGCTTTAGGACTATGAATTCAAACTTTGGATAATTCCAGTTTGGTTAAGATGAACAATTAAATTACTACTACTCTCCAATGACAGTGAGTGAGCTTCTGTTTTCAGAAGTGAATAAAGGAAATGGTGAAGAGAGATATATACTAAAATAGATTTTTCTTGCGTATTCAAAAAATATCACATACTCTTTTCACAATTCTCTGTCTTTTTGAGTATATGCCAGGAATTTTTAGCTATATAGAAGCATGTCTGCTTAGCACTTTTTTCTTAAGTTAAAAGAATTTGAATACATTACATTAAATGAGTTAGCAAAGAAAACCTCTTGTGAGGGATCAGTTAGCTTTCTGGAGAGTTGAGTGTTGAGTGGGAAGGGATCAGTCAGTAGGTGGCAGCCTACACTTTGAAATGAGACTATGTCTATTGGCATGGTACCTCCTCAAAGCATTTTATATTACATTTCAAATTCCAGAATTTGAAGGAATCCAGGTTACTGACATAATATTGCATAGCTGAATTCTACTTAATATTAAAAAAGAAAGGAATTGCCTAATTAGAGGCAATGCTATAAAAAAGGAAGGAAGACAGCTATTTTGTATTTCAGATGAGGGTGGGTTTGGCACCACTAAACTGCTTCTCTCCTCCTTCCCTGCCCTTTGATAGAACAAAATAACATGAATGCTTTGAAAAGTAAAGGAAATAGAGTAGTATATCCTCATCAACACATGGTATATCAAATGGCAGCTTTAAACTCTTGAGAGCTTGTTGGGAGTTTCTGTCAGGGAATCACAGCACTCGTGATACCCTTGACGGAACAATGATCCTTTCTATTGGGGGAGGTTGTCCTCTTTGACCAAGTGTGCAGCTTTGGGAGGGACACACATGGAGCAGTGAGGGAAGAAGGGGACACTTGCCTAGCCAGCCAGATCAGCCAAATCAACCCTGGCAATCAAGGGAGTATCAGATGTTGCAGCCAGATCACCCTCACATCTGCACCTTTAAACTCTTTAGGCAACGAGATCTATTGATCAGCAGCAATAATCAAAACTAGGGTAATTCTAGGGGAGCAGGGGATAAGAGAGGGCAGTTAAAGGTAGTTGATTTGTAGTGTTGTGATTTTTGTGTTGAATGCCACATATGCTTTTGTTTATATTAGATAACAAGACAGATTCCACATTTCAAATACAAAATCTGTCCTCATTATTGTCATTTTCTGTGTGAGAGAGGTGTGTGCTTTATTCAAATAAGACTCTTGTGTGTCAGGTTTAAGATATGTTTTTGTTTAACACTATTCTGTACTGATATGTTGCTGGGCTGTGGTTGGTAGACTGTATTTGGCTCATCATTGTAGAAAACTTATGTAAGAAAAGGAACAGCAGAGGACTTGCTGAATTAGTCGAAAGGCCTAAACATCTGCCCTTTCATGGGACATGGTGTTTTTCCATTACTGTATTCATTCCTTTATACCACAAGTAAGGCTGGTCACAGCAGCTTGGGAAAACAAATATAACCACTTACTTGTTTTCTTATGTAAATATCACAGAAATTGTATAACCAGATACTTTAGTACTCTGAAGTCAGGAAGGAAAACTAGGGCACGCAAGTGGAGAAGGCAAGTTTTCATCTATAATGTGCCCATATTTGGGAGTTGATTTTGGGCCTCAGTGTGTTCATCAGTAAAGTGAAGGGAAAGGACCAGATGATCCTCATGGACCTTCCAGCACATACGTTCAGGTAACCTCTGTGCTTCTTTTTCTTTTTAGAAGGAGGGACACAATTTCTTCATGCTTTGATTCCCTTTACATTTAGAAGTTTTATGGATATAATAATTGTTATGTCATCTTGGAACCATGCGCTAGGCTACCTTAAGCACTTGATTTAATTGTTTTTGAAAAGATCCTTTTCCAGCATTTCCAGTTTTAAATTTGGGGCTGTAAACAAAATCTTTTGACTGGTCTTATACTTTTTCATTAATTATGAAATTAACATCTTCACAGAAAAAGTGACCTTCTATTGTGTGTTTCTGTTGCAAATAAAGGGTTACTTGGGTGATAGTTATATCCTTGTATTTAGTGTCAGGGTTACACTGAAGAATAGTAGTCTGTGACATGGGGTTGGGTCTCTGTGCAGTTGAAACTCGTTTTACTGAAGAAAAAACTTGATAAAATTCATGAAAATTCTTCAGCGAAAGGAAATACATGGTTTATTCCCCTGTTGAAATATATATAGTTATGACTTAAAAGCAGGTTGAATACCAGATATAGATTGTAAGATGTCTTTATTCATGGAATTTGGAGTGAAAACAGGTATTAATAAGTTGGTATAACCCTTTTTTTTCTGAAATGCTTATTAAAAAATATTTTTTAAAGGATTGTTAGTAGCTTCAAGTGCTTTTCTGACTTGAATATCAGGCACTTTAAATTGCTTCTGGTAGCTTTCTTGACCTGGTCCTCTTATCTCTCAGACCTCATCTCTTGCCATTTGCTGCCTGGAACTCTCTGCTCCTTATAGATTACAGCATAATAAAATAAATATTTGGTCTTTGTCCCTGGTTTCTGGCACAGAGCTCCTAAAATCCTTGGATAAAATAAATAAATAAATTGTGCTCCTGGTATTACAAGATTCCTTTATTTTGTAGAAGAACATATGTGGCAGAACTAGATAAAGAACATGTTTAATAGGCCTTCTTTACCCTGTGTTCTTTTTTTGGCAGCCAGCCAGCCACCTCCCAGTGTTCTTTTTTTTTTTTTTTAAATCAATTAAT